GGTGGCTTCTGAAATGCCGCGGCGACCGCCTCCTTGGCGGATCCAGACGTCTCAGCTGCCGTGTGAATGCATGAGGAAGATCCATATGCAAACCGCCTCGCGATTGCGGCGAGAAGGCGCCCCTCCCGCATCCTATTTCGTCAATCCCGCGCTATCGCTCGCTCGCCATCGCCAGAGAGAAAGGAGGAAGGCCCTAATTAGGGCTGCTCTTTGCTTAAACCCTGGGAGGAATATCCTCCTAGGGTTTATGTGCCGCCCGGTCGGGGGTTCGAGTTTATTTTCGCTCATCACGTGTAGGGCTGGAGGAGCTCCTGTGATCGCTACCGCTGGCGCTGGAGCTCCACGGCGAGGCGCATTTGTGATGCTCGCCTGGCCTACGCATGAATTTCTGCCGCGATCGTGATCGCCGAGAGATCGCGGAGCGAGGATGATCCGGAGAGTTTTCTGTGGCGTTCTCGCTCGCAGCAGTGCAGCGAAGGGGATTCTAGGTGATAATCGAGCTCTTGTTGCCGGTGAGCTACTCGTTTTCTCGAGATTCTCGTGTCGTCTGTGAGGGTTTATCGTTTTGTTTGATATTTCCAGGCTTGAATGCCGTGTTGTCTCCAAGGAATTTCAGCAGCCTGCCAGAGAAGGAGCTCAACGATTCACCTGTAAGGATTATCGATTCTCTTTTCCTTTTGGATCGGAATTCCTGACTGAGTAGATCGCTTTCGGGCAGCCAAAAGTGAAACTTCTCGTGGGAGGCGAGTTTATAGACTCTAAGACCAGCGATTGGGTTGATGTCGTCAATCCGGTAAGGTTGTTCCTTTTTTTTTACCTCTTTTCTTGACTCTATCAATACTCCAAAACGAAACCAAAAACTACAACAGGCTACGCAAGAAATCGTGTCTAGACTACCTCTGACGACGCCGTCCGAATTTGATGCCGCGGTCGATTCAGCGAAAGCTGCGTTTCCAAAATGGAGAGATACTCCTGTGACAACGCGCCAGAGAGTCATGCTCAAGCTACAGGAGCTTATACGAAGAGATATGGTTCGTAGTTTTTTCCATTGTCGTGAGCTCTGTGCTAAGGACTTGGTACTGTTACAGGATAAACTGGCGTTGAACGTGACGACTGAGCAAGGAAAGACGCTTGGGGATGCTCGCGGCGATGTCTTCCGTGGATTAGGTGTGGTTGCTTTCAAGGCTTTTCCTTTTCTGGTTCTGTCTTTCCACGGCCTCACGTCGTTTTTAACGTGACAGAGGTTGTGGAGTTTGCGTGCGGCGCTGCAACTTTGCAAATGGGGGAGTTTGTGGAGAACGTTTCCACTGGCATTGACACATATAGTATAAGACAACCTCTGGGGATCTGTGCTGGAATTTGTCCCTTCAATTTCCCTGCGATGATTCCATTATGGGTGAGGCTTCGCTTTTCTACGTGAGGTTTTTATAGTAATCCTGTTTTCGCAGATGTTTCCAGTTGCTGTAACGTGCGGGAACACCTTTGTCCTGAAACCCTCGGAGAAAGACCCTGGTAATCATCTTGTTCGCCTGGAGGTTTCAAACTAAACGAGTACGTTTTAATTGACAGGGGCGTCATTGATGCTAGCAGAGCTTGCAGCGGAAGCTGGCCTTCCTCCTGGCGTTCTCAATATCGTTCATGGGACAAATGTTAGTGGTTAAGAGTGACTTGTACTGATTTCACTGACTGCACTTTGTAGGACGTGGTGAACCGTATCTGCGATCATCCAGACATCAAGGCCGTGTCTTTCGTCGGATCGGACAAGGTTGGTTTGTCGTGAAATTTTGTCGGTTTAGAGTGAATGCCATCTTTTAATAATTTTTATTTTGGAACGCAGGCTGGCATGCACATCTACTCTCGTGCAGCTGCTACGGGCAAACGAGTTCAGGTAAGCTGTCTCCGTGGCTTTGAACCGAAACCAACATTTCCGAGTGTTATTCTCAGTGCAACATGGGGGCCAAAAATCACGCGGTGATTATGCCTGATGCATCGGCTGAAGCGACAATGAATGCTTTAACTGGTGCTGCCTTTGGAGCCGCTGGCCAGCGTTGTATGGCCATCAGTACTGCAGTATTCGTTGGCGATTCAAAGCCTTGGTAAGAACAACTTTTTTCCCTTTGTATGATATTTTTTACTCGTCGTCGTCTACACAGGGAAGAGGGCTTGAAACAGCGGGCAATGAAATTGAAAATCGGCTGTGGCACAGAGCCCGGTGCAGATCTTGGCCCAGTTATAAGTAAACAGGTAAGAGCAACTAGTAGCTTTTGGTGGTTAACTAGATCTTGGCAGTTCAGGCAAAGGAGCGTATTTGCAGCCTCGTCGAGAGTGGGCTGAAAGACGGCGCGCGAGTTGTTCTTGATGGTAGAAATGTCGAGGTAGGCACTTGCATTGGTTCCTCGCGAGAGAGAGAGAGAGAACTTACAAGACGTATCAGGTTCCCGGCTTTACAAGTGGAAACTTTGTTGGGCCAACTATACTAGCCGATGTTAGACCAGACATGGATTGCTACAAGGTATGGTCTCTTTTGATAAGAATGTCGTGAAGACTGAACACCAGTTGTCACTTTAGGAAGAGATATTTGGCCCAGTTTTACTTTGCTTAAAGGTGAGTTTGATTCAAGTCTCGGTTGTGTTACATGAGTACTTACAATCCCAACGCAGGCAGAGACACTTGAAGAGGCGATTGAAATTGTAAATAGTAACAAGTAAGAACGTTTTTTGAGTTTCGCTCGCGATGATTCTAATCAGATCGTGTATAGATACGGTAACGGGACTGCCATATTCACGACGTCGGGCCCGGCAGCGAGGAAGTTCCAACACGAGATTGATGTTGGCCAGGTCGGATTCTCTCTTTCCAGTGAAACATCTTATTGATCCAAGCGTTAATCTTTCCAGTAGGGATCAACGTCCCAATTCCAGTGCCTTTACCATTCTTCTCCTTCACGGGCTCGAGAGGTTCATTTGCGGGCGACCTCAACTTCTATGGTAAGGTGGTGGAAACGTTTCGAGCTCTTAAGTTTTTGCTTGGATTCGCAGGCAAGGCTGGAGTCCACTTCTTTACTCACATGAAAACCGTGACGACGCAGTGGAAAGACAGTCCAGGAGGCGTCACAATGGCGTTCCCGACCTCCCAAAAGGTGTAGAACACACAACAATGTGATATAAAAGGCCAGCGGCTCATTATTTTTGGTTTCCTTTGAATTCAATCTCCTTGTGTTCTCTGCTGAAAAATCTGTAAGTGAATTTTCAGAAATAAAAGTGGATTTCACTCACATAAAAATTGTGGGAACGATGGCGATTGTCGCTATTTTGTTTCCTGATCTCCCTTTGTTTCCTCAGTTCTAGTGTTGGAGGTTTGCTGTTGCTGACTCGTTTGCAAGTAGAAAATGGAGAGAAATGTTGCAGTGAGGTATGGAAACACGGTCCAAATTCCCTGAGAAAGAAAAAAAAAATTCACTAAGTTTTGCAGCGAAGCTGGTAAAATCTCAAGTACCACAAAAGCTGCTACTCCTGCCAATGCTATTACTGGTCGATCACGAAGCATGAAACCAACGCTCATCTGTGACAAGGAGCCCACGGTTTTTGTTTCCCAGATCTTAGAAACGCAAATATATATACCTGTAATGGGAGTGTCAGAAGGCCGCCCAAGCAAACTCCCGCAAAGAACTTCGAGGCTTCAATCCCCTAGAACACACGTGACTTATATGTTAGAGAAGCTAAGTTTCAGGCAAAGAACTTACTTACACTGGCTCCGGCGAGAAATGAAGTTGGATTCCTTGCTCCAACTGAAAATCGCTCGACTGGTGCCAAAATCAAAAGAGTTAACTTTGGAGAGAAAGTTGGGCACTAGAATAGCGTACCAAAACCAATGACGTTGCCATAGCGTTGAACAGCTTTAGCGATCTCTTCTAGCTTCTCCCTGCTGATTCCTAGCTGCAAAATCGTTTTCACTCAAAGACTCAATCGACTTTTAGCACACCTTGCTGCGGAAAGTCTCCCCAGAACCGGATTGCGCTGTGAGCTTTCCAGCGTAGAATGGAACCATATCGCTTATACACACTCCCCTGAAAGTCATAGATAGAACGTCAAGGTTGAAAACAAAAAATAAAAACACCACCCACCAGTAAACCCACAAGATCGTCGACAGAATGAAAGTTCCATTCTGCGAGACAGAAGACCAAAAAACCTCTCGAGTTGAGTTCCAAGTCAAGCTACGAGCAATGGCTGCTCCAACCTGAAAAAAACTTCCAATTCGAATCGATACAACGAAAGAAGGAAAGCAAACCATCACGAACCCAGACAACGAGCGCTTCCTCACTCACAAAGAGACCAAATCCAGCAGCCATGAGCAAGAGGAAATAAATCCACCTACACGAGAACGAAGAAAAAAGAATAAGAGAGACCGAAAGGAAAGAAGCATTTGCATGCTTACCCGGGAGTTCGCTCTCCCAAAAAGATTTGCCTCCCGAAAATGTTGGCTGTGAAGGAAAATCCCGAGCCGCTACGCGCAAGCTGCGTGGAGCTCGATACATCCACCGATGTCACTCTCTTTACGGCAATGTATCCCACGAAGAGAAATCCCGTGAGACCGGTGACAACCCCCAGCCACTTCCATCCAATCCTCCACCGCTGCTCTTGCTTTTGCGGCACTACTGGCGGTGATTCTTCCAAGAAATCCCGATCATCGGCGGCTGCGCTGCGCCTTGGAACGCTTGCGGATCGCCGCCTGGATTGCCTGGATCCATTTCTTTCGCAAAGCAAGCAAGGAGAGAAAATATTACCTGACATTGAGAAGAATCGTCGATCGCAATGCCGAGAAATGCTGGCGCTGGAGACGCGCGTTCTCACATCGGAAATAAGGAGGAGGAGGGACCGTGATCGCGAGCGCCGGCAGCAAGCCCACTGCCATGGCTGGAAGCTCGCATAAACCCTAAAAACAGAGCAATGTTAAAAATGGGATATTCTCTTTTAGAACCCAAAACCCTTTTCACAAAGGGGAGAAATGCCACCCTTGGCTATGGCGGCATTTCCATCGCCTCGCGGATTCTGGAAGCCGAGCTCGTCGCATTGGCAGGGGCAATGGCGTGGCTTTCGCGGGAGAATGGCGCTGGATCTCGACGAGCAGGCGAGGATTTCGCTCTCCCGCGCTTGCAAATCCGCCGGCATCGCCGTCGTCGCGCTCTTCTTCTCGGCCGGGGTAAGCCTGAGTGAAAATCCCGCCCTAGCGGCGCCGGCAGTGGTGGAATCATCGTCAGTGAGGGAAGATTGCGCGTCTTCTTCTCTAGCGGGAGGGATTCCCGACGCCTCGTCGAGCTTGGAGGTAACGGATGAGTCTCTTGTGGAATCGGCGTGGGAGCTCGTCAATGATTTCTATCTTGATGCTAGGCACCACAAGTGGTCACCGGATTTGTGGCTGGTAAGTTTTCCAACTTCCATAGCTTCTTCTCTTTGGTTTTGCAGGAAAATCTCATTCTCGCTTCTACAGGCTCAGAAAGAAAAGGTGTTTCAGAGGCCATTCCAGAATCGAAAGGCTGCGTACTCGGCTATCAGAGAAATGCTTGCTACACTCGACGATCCATTTACTCGATTTCTAACTCCCGATGAGGTAAAAAAAACAAAAGAGAAAAATTCTAGCTTTGAGACTTTGCGAGCTAACTCTCTTCTCGCATGCAGGACAGTTTTCCCAAACCTCAAAGTACGATATCACAGGCGTGGGCTTGAATATCGGAGAGGTACCGGATGAAAATGGACAAATCCAGCTTAGAGTTCTCGGTATTGTTCTTCAAAGCCCAGCCGAGCTGGCTGGAATTCAGCAGGTTGGTCAGTGGCTTTCACTCGTCCTGCCGCTTAGTTCTGATCTTCGCGTGGCAATTTGCTGCTTTTTTCCAGGGTGA